TATATATATATATATATATATATATATATATATATATATATATATATATATCTGTGGCACAGCATCTAAGACTAAATACAAATCAAAAAGATTTATAATATTCATAATTTAAAAAGCACATACACATAATACTCACGCATCAACAAGAATCAGCATGTCCTTGGGCGACGCGGCACCTTGAACATACCTGGATACAAAGAAAGAAATGTACTGGATCTCTTTCAAGGAGAATTTTAAACTGAGAGAACAAAGAAATGAAGGTTGAAGAAAAAAGGGAACAAATGAAAAAGAATTCAAAGCGCACACACAGAAATACACATTAGTACCAAGGTCGCCGGCGCACATCGTACAGGTCGATTTTACTGGGCGTTTTCCTGGCATCCATCCAAGGGGAAGCTAAATGGACAGAGACAGGATATGGAAATATGAGTGACCCCTGATCCCAAACTCCATCTGATTTGTCACATCTCTGTCGTGAGCACATCAGCGAGCCTTGCTAGAAACCTATTTCTGTGTCCGGTGGGGGGTGGTTTACGGTTTATATAGACTGCAGTGAGCCGACATGGAAAAAAAAGGGCCCCAGTAGAATTTCAGCTTCGATTTTTCTCTTTAATGGAGAAAATAACCTGGTGCAAATGAGGGTGCTCATCTGTGACTATCACAGCTGAACATCTAACAAGACATGTTTCTTCATAAATGGCATCCCACGATTTGACATTTAGTGAGTGGATTGCAGCTGTAAGTGCCGACAGATAGTCTGAGACACTGCAATTTGGCCATGTTCTGCCGACTATAATTAATTGAAGTTTACAAGAACATCAATATTTTATAGGCGTATACGTATCTATAAGGAGACAATCAATAGTTGGGAGCCCACATCTAATAAGATATAATTATTAAATTATATTATTATAATTCAAAATTCAAACTCTTATAAAGCCGTAAAGGGAAATAGGTTCAACGGTAGCTAATACACTATTTATATGCAACATTTTTCACTAAAGCCTTACCAATTACAAATCAGAAAGTAATGAAAATGAATTGAGCACCTCATTACTTTTCTCATCTGTCATCATTAAATCTCAGAAGAATATAATAAGCTCTCTGCTGAGATATTTGATATTATAATCTGTTATGAAAATTTGGTGTAATTTGAGCTGGGACTACATGCTATGTTTACCAATTAGAGACAGTGGAGTCTTGGAAAGGGAGAGGGAGGATGTGTGTGTGTGTGTGTGTGTGTGATTCTGATAGTAATGTGTACTGAAATGTGAGTTCTGAATTAAACAGACACTACAAGCTTATACCTGGGTAATAGCGAGCTAATCCAGTAGCGCTGCCGAACACCTGCCATAGTAGCGTTGGATCCTCTTCTCGGTTTTTCTTAAAGACGTCTTCCAGTGCTTCAGTCCAGTTCAGCTCATTCAACACAATGGTGGCTGGAATACAGGCAATAACATACAATCAGGGGCGCCGCTACTGTTTCTGGGCCCCTGGACAGCATATTCACTCGGGCTCCCGGGGGGGTCTGCATTTCAACCCGGGCCCGACTTTTTTGGGGCCAATTTTCACGTCATATTTCAGACATATTCTCTGGCCTGTTTTAGGCTTCTCCTTATTTTTATATTTTAGACATCCATCAATTAGTGATGAAAAAAATTGGAAAGCTAGTGGAAACAACACGAGACCGTGCTACCGCGACTGTCAAGAGCGGCTCAACGGTGTTTATTGTCCCGCAGCAGCAGCATGGTGCATGCCGTCAGAGCAGCTGAATAGTTCTGCGTTCAAATGCAAGCAATAGGCTTAAGCTTGCCACAAAGCACTGGCAAAAGTAATTACCATAAATGTGTCAGGGGGAAATAGTAAGGAGATATTTGAATTATTTACTAATAAACTAGTGTTTTCTGAGTCAGTGTCACAAGGATGAAGTTTACGATCCTGACTCGCCATCTCCTCAGAGCCTTTAGAGAGAAGTGCATCTTTACGAATTATGACTGATTATAATGAAAGACTTTTTGATTTGTTTCATTTCGTCAAGTAGTAATTTAAAGCTTTCTATATATATATTTATCATGTCTGTGAGGCATGTATTCGCTGAGCACATTTTTGTGAAGCGCTCCTGTTCAAGACGAGACGACAGAAAGCGTTTGTTTTCTTTATTTTATAAAAGCACAAAGTTTTGTTGATATTGTGAGTGCACACAAATAAATGTAGACTCTTTACAGTTAAGAAATGGTGTATTACTTTTATACCTTTATGAGCAAAAATGACAGCGTAGAAAAAAACTGAAAAAAACACAAGTGATTGCGCTGGCGCCTCCAAGTCCTGCAAAGCGCACTTCAGCTTCCACTCTCCGCACAAACTATTGGTTATAGCGCACATTTATCTAGGTTTAACATTTAAAACATTGTTATATGCTTGAACTGTTTTATATCTATAGGCTAGATTTTATTTTAGGCAAGTCGTGATGATTTGAATAGGCTAAATTGATCGGCTCACTGTCTGCCGCTGGCCGCTTGGTCCTTACTTTAAAAAACAAAAAACTTATATTTAACGAACAAAAAATGCTCCAAACGCTTTTCTAAATTAACTTCACAAAAAAACTAAACTAAATGTAATCACTTTGCCATTAAATACAAAACTTAACTATTTTAATAGCTGAAACAGTAGTATAAGCTGTTTTGGGAGAACCGGGGAAAAACAGACGGGCTCGGGCCGGTAATTCTGATAAGCTGTCGGAAACGGGCCGGGCTAGGGCCTGAGCGTCTCGGGCCAGCTAGTGCCGGGCTAGGGCCTAAACTTGAGGCCCGTGCAGGGCTCTAGTGTTGTTTGGGGGGGTAGCCTACCCCTTGGTAGAAATCACAATCGCGTTCCGTGGATTTGGGTGAGGGTTGCGGAGGTCCCCCTCATAAATCGTGTTAACGTTCCCCTCGGTATAAATCGCATTCCGCATTCCCCTCGGTAGAAATCGTGTTCCGTGTTCCCCTCGGTAAATCGCATTCTCCTCGGTACAAATCATATTCCGCATTCCCTTCAGTAAATCACGTCCCCTCTCGGTAGAAATCGTGTTCCGCGTTCCCGTCAGTAGAAATCGCGTTCCCCCCTCGGTGGGCCCCCCTCCAATGTCAGGCCCTTAGAATCGTCCTTACCCCCCCCCCCCCCCCCCCCCCCCCCGCCCCCCCCCCACACAG